TTTAACTTGTGCTACATAGCTACCTGACACAAGCATTACTGCTGAACTAACAAAATGGATAGAGTATCAATGCTCTCAGTCCATATTCTACATCAAACCCGACACTTGTGGCTAATTTAAATTACGTTTATTATATGCAACTGAAGCTTTGTGTTAAAGTACTGAGAAAATACAAACTGTAAAGTGAGTAAGGTGTGGGATTTAAACTTACAAACTTGGCAATTTTGATTTGAAAATTTAGTTATTAAAATACAATTAATAAATTGTAAATGCACATACAAATAAGAATATTTTACAATGTAATTCATCAATAGTATGGGCAAAGCTATACAAAAGGGTTGCAGGCAGTCAGGGTCAGACCATGAACTGACGCCAAGGAACACACACATGCAGACGAAGAAAGGGTGCCTCCTAGGATAGTACCTGTGAACTCCGCCACGTGCCAGACTTAAAGAACAAGGCAAGAAAACTCCATCAGTGGATGCATTACAGAATAGCCCAAGTGTGGCAAAGCTTTAGTTTACGTCAAGAGGTAAATTTCAAAATTCTAGTAACTTAGAAGTCCTAAAACAATTAAAATGAACATGGCACTATATTCATTATCAACGCTAAAGTACTAGACAGTTAAAACAGTAACTACTATCACAGAACTGTCCTAAAGAGAGAAAAAAGCATGAAGCATTGTGTTAAAAAGAGGAATGTTAATAATGGGAATAATTACCATAACTTATTTCATACAAAGTGTAATCTATAATCAGTACCACTTGCCATCACCCTGTAAAAGTATTTAAGGTATGTATAATCTACCACTACCAATAATTTAAAATATTTTCTAAGTACAAAATAATTAGCGTCTACAAAAAAATTTTAGCACCTGTAATAACTAAATACCAAAGCCACATAATTCAAAGATTAAAACATAAAAATTAAATGCATTTTATTATAATTACAGTAATACCTCTAAGTAATATCTCTAAGAAGAAACTTCAAATAAAAAAAACTTCTTCACCAACCTAATTTAATCCACAAGCATTCCATATAATTTGATGTTTATATTTATAAATGAATTTGTTGTATACCTTCTGCTTAAGGCAGCCCAACACAAAAGCTTCAATGTCATTATCAACAAGTAATAAACATCTCACAGAATGGTATGTCATATATTGTACAAAATATTTTTTTTTTAACAATTTTCAAACGGGTTTTGCTTTAAAGCAAATGCTAAAGGTTTCTGATTTTGCTTCTATATAGGGAGAACCTTTGCTTGCAATGAAAATTTAAAAAATTTTTTATAAAATAAATGCGGAAAGTATGGACTGTATACAGAAAGGAAAGAAAAAATACAAGAAGAAAAGATGTAATTGAAGTAAGAGATATAAAAAGGAATATACGTATGAGTGTATTTCAAAAACCCCCACATAGGGGGAAAAGAAAAAAAAACTTATGACAAATTTGGGACCAAAATTCATCTAAACTTTTTTTTCTCCTATGTGCGGGTTCTTGTGATTTTTCCTCACGGTGTTTTTCCTTTTTTTTCTTTCCGAGATTAAAGTGGACAAGCAAGGTGATTGTTACCCCATACCTTGAAATGATCTACTGTATATCACAAGATTCCTTCACAAAAAAAAAAACTTTTTTTATAATACTGGTATACTAATTTTTCTTTCCCCTTTACTGGCAATCATTAATTACACACACAGTTTATATCATCCTCACTATAGAACAGTTTCCCTATACTGTACTTTTACAAAATTAAATTTTGCCTCTTTCCCTTTTTTAAGTCCTTTTTAAACAGTGTAACTTTTTAGATTTTCATTTTAATTCATCTTCTAAATTTCTCGATTTCTACGAAAAATAAATTCACCTGAGTTTGTACACCAACTAGGCATTTTATTTTGCCATTCTGGCAATACTTAACAAAATAATTACAGTCAGGTCAGCCCTCACTATCCCGGGAATCAGTTATTGGTTCCATCAGTAATCCGGGACTAATTTTGGTACACAATTTCAAATTTTATCATTATACGACTCAAAATTGGGGCGATGTTTGTAAATCCACAGTAGCAAGCCCGTGAAAGGGGAAAAACATGATGAAAATGTGGAAGGTGTAGCAGAAAGTCTCTCTTATTGACGGTTAATTAATGTATTCTAACCCAACCACTCGTAATCCGGCAAACTCCTAATCTGGCACAACAGTCCCAATATCCGATTAGGATGGCCGACCTGTAATTATTTTTAGATGTTAAATTTTCATTATTCAATAAGTTATTTGGGAAAGGGATTGACTCTGCAATTCAGCTACACTGTTGACAGTTAAGTACAACAGTGAACCACTTTTATTTAATTAAAAATGAGGAATACAGTGGCCCCCCCTTGCGAGCCCAAACAGTATCCGATAAATCCATTTGTGATCTTTATACGCAAAATTTTGCCTATTTTCCCCTTAAAAAACCCCTATACATTCGCCTGGAGTGTCCACTGGTGCCATGTTTCAAAGCCAGCCCGTGGTGATTAAGGAACATCGGGACATTCCATTTTCACAGTGTTTTTGGCCTTGTTTCTGCAAATAAGTCAACAGGGCCCAAGAAAGTTTTAGGCCAACCCTTCGAGAAAAAGGGTGCTAATGACTTGAAGTGAAGAAAGAGTAACGCAAAGACAAAGTGGAGGGTGGCGGAGTGGCCATGTTGATACAAAACCCCCAAACAACCATCTTAAATATAGTGACCAGGGGAAAAGGGAAACAAGGAAACTGTTTTTGTAAAAGGGGAACTGGATTACAAAACAGCGACCGCAAGTGTTAGAAAATGTTGAGAGACTGTTTTTTGGTGTGGATAAATGAAAAAAAGATAGCAGGAGATGCACTCTTAGCGAAATTTGTGAAAAGGCTAGGCAGTTGTATGACGATTTGGTAAAGAAATTTCCTGCAACTAGTGATGTGAGTGAATTTAAGGCCAGCAAAGGTTGGTTTGAAAGATTTAAGAATCGTAGTGGCATACATAGTGTGATTAGGTATGGTGAGGCTGCCAGTGACTCTCAAGCTGGTCCTAGTGGCATTAAAAGAAGAAGGGAAGTAATCCCGGAAAAGGACTTGACACCTCAAGTCGTAATGGAAGGGGAGTCGTAATGGAAGGGGATTCCCCTTTTAAACACTAACACCATCCACACTCTCCCCTCCACCCATCCCATCAATCATCACCAGATCTTCAATAAAGGTGAGTGTCATGTAATTATACATGTCTCCTTCAGTTTGTGTGTATTAAAATTAATATTTCATGTGGTAAAAATTTTTTTTTTTCAATACTTTGGGGTGTCAGGAACGGATTAATTTGATTTCCATTATTTCTTATGGGGAAAATTAACTCGACTAACAATAATTTCGACTAACGATGAGCTCTCAGGAACGGATTAATATCGTTGGTCGAGGGTCCACTGTATAATATTGATATCCATTAAATATTTTTTAATACGGATTTGCAATAGTCGTAACTGCAGATGAGTGTTAGTAATGAACCGTCTCCAAAGTGCCAATACCGTAAGTGTAAAATATCGTAAGTTGAAACATCATGAACTGGGGACCTACCTACTGTACTACCAAAATATAAAGACTTTCACATAAAATGATAAAACATACATAAAAAAAAGAAAGAAAAACAAAGTTATGTGGTTGTACTCTGCTTAATGTTATAAGTTAAATCCTCAGATAACACCCACTGTCTCATAATCCTTGAATTTGTATCCTGATCTGTATTTTTTCTACATATCAGCATCGAGGGAGCAAGGGGCTAGTAACCCCTTCTCCTGTATATATTACTAAATATAAAAGGAGAAATTTTCGTTTTTCCTTTTGGGCCACCCCGCCTCGGTAGGATACGGCCAGTGTGTTGAAAGAAAGATCAGCATCGAATATGTTTGCATAACTAAGTTCTAATTCACTTGTACTATCCTTGTATGTATCCCTTATCAAGATTGTCAATATCAGACATTACATCAGATCAGAACCTCGATACTGGTGTTGATGTTTTCCTCAATCCCCTGGGTGAAATGTTGCTACGTCGGTATTTCTTACTAAGACTAAATTGCTATTAATAGAGACTGCAGGCATTCATAGGCTGTAGATGTGTAACAAAATACTCAAAGGTGCATAATATCAAAAAGGAGGTGGGTTGTATAGTTAATGCACTTCTATACATATACAGGATATCTGGTCGAAGGGTTAAATTAACCTTGGGCGTTAATATACCTGTAGGAGCCTCCTATATATTAAAATCAACCTGCATACAACAGTACAGTTCAGCAAAATATTTCTGACTGACTTGTCATCCACTGCAACTCGCTTTACACATTCTCCACACATCCCTTTTATTCATATACGTATACTAAGTTCGACTTTTTTTATTTTTACTACAGTACACCATATTCAAACTACTGTAATTAAATAGGTCTTTTTGAAAATTATTTGAGTTTCAAACTCACTATACGTACTACTAATTTATTAGTACAAGAATACAACACTAACAGAAAATACTCAGGTATTGTACTACACATGATATTCTAGCTTACCGTGTCAGTCAAATCTCATGCATAAGAGAAAGCTTCATTGCCAAGTTCAGCAGTCTTAGCCACATCTTGTATGCATGTTTACTAATATTATTCCATGAGAATTTACAACCAAATGTAAATATAATCTCATGAAACATTTAAATATTGAATTCATTACTTTTTCATTCTTTGTACAGTACAAGTAATACTGTAAAATGCAAAACAAAATCTGGGAAATTAGATATTGTGATTTTTCAATGACTAAAAGAAACAAGGTAACTGTAAATAAAATCATGCCACTAAAGTATTCCTTCCATTCCCTAGCAACTAATACTATATAACGTGTACATGTAAATAACTTTTTTCCTTTAAAGGGTCACTGCAAAAAAAAAAGTAAAGATAATCTACTTGGGTGCTGTATATACACAAGATACACTTAAAAACTAAGAAGCACTCAGTACCTTAGATGGAAGTGTAGGAAATGCGCAAACCTTTTTCTGCAAGGGCTGTACAAGCACTCGTCAGAAGAGGATATGGAGAGCGCAGCGCAGTGTAGCAGAAGCAGTAAAGAAAGAAAGCAAGAGAGGATGCAATGTTAGTAAAGCAGTGGTGAGGATGAAGCCTGTTGTATTGCAGCTGAAGTGTATTGCAGCAGGTGTTGTGCTCTTGTATTCTCTTAGGGTAAAACATATGTAATATTATTTTTTGGCCATGCAAGGTGTCATAATAAAAAAACATAAGTGACACAAAACACATTTCTTAAAAAATTTCACTTTGTGTTATAAGTCACAATGTTAATATTTTTTTGAACACTAGCATTAACTAAGACCATTAGCAAGCATTAACTAGCTGATACAAAGCTGTGCAAGCTTTGAGAAAGTTTATATAGCAAAAAAATTGTCTATAAAATACATTATTAACATTGTGAGCTTTATTTATTTAAAAGCATAATAACCAGAGTGGTAGACATCATATATGAAAACACTCTGATTCCTTCATGCATTTACCTGAAGTAAAACAATAAGCTATACTATACAAATTTTATATGATTTGTTGTGAATACTCTGTGAAAAGTCATATAAAAAAAAAAAGTTAAGCCATAACAATTTCGATACATTGCATTGTAATACTTAAAGAAAAAGTATAATAAACAGCAACAATAATGCAAGTGTAACTTTTGCTTAGCACAAAACCCTTTGGTTACTGGTATTCTCGTGTATTTCATAGCATCAATGTAGAGATGTGTGCTATTACTGTATTTTACAAAATAATAGCACACACATTTATTTACTGTATAATATCAATTACAGATAGATATTGGATGATACAGGCATCACGTACTGGTTAGTCACATCTGGGTCTCAATGCAATGTCATGATCTCGTGCAAAAAACAGGTTCTCATAGCTACTGGATTATCTACGTTAAGTGTTGCATATTTCTTACCACAAACCGTTCCTAAGTGCTAGTTTAAATGAATCACAGTTAAGAATTCATTACTTCAGTTATCCAGGATGCTTCTTATCTGACCTTACAGGATTCTAGAATGAAATACAAAAACTTACTGTTTTGAAGACTGGAAATAACATTTCCAATGAGTTTTGAAAAATTATTTCACTATCCAGTAGCTAAGTCAATATATACTTGCATCTCTTTCTTTAACACCCTGGTAATCTCCCACGGAGGTAGGGAAAAATAAATCATTCATTCAATAGCTGTCTTGCCAGCAGTGCACAGACATAATTCAAATGAGCCCTGAAGTGCAATATCCCCACCCTCCTACAGAGTACATGCATTGTACTTCTGTACTTACTAGTTTCCCTGAATCCTTTCATAAATGTTACCTTATTCTCACTAAAGCAGTGTGTCAAGACATAACAACTGCTTGTCTCCACTCACTCTGATCTATCATACTCACATAAGCCTACTAGATGCTGAAGCCCCTAGTACCCAAAGCTTCCTTTACCCCTTATCCCTTCTTTTGCCCCAGATTAAACACACCCTCTTGGTCATTAAAAGAATAAAGAATAATTCTTTCTGATCCACCTCTCTAAATGTCCAAACATTATCAATAGTGAGACAAGACATCAAAATCTAATATTTATACCAAGTCAATTTAAGTACAGTATTATTTATACAACCTGTACACTTTAGCTTTCACTTTTGCCTTCACAATGCTGTATCACACATTCCTAACCCTTCAAAGGGGCATGCCTTGATTCCAGCAAAAGGCTTTTAATCCAAGCACTGGGAGCTGCCGCCTCTTTTTCTAGGCATGGTATGATCCCTACTAGAGTAATACTTCCCTACATGCATCTTCAGGGGTTTCCATTCCATGACTGTGATACCAATTATAGAAACACCACTGGCCTGCATGTATCAGAATGAGTAGCATGTCTCTTGTCATATCTTACATGACCTTCATCAGTACCTTTACAGTAGGGCCCTGACTTAAAGTATTCTGACAGAATTTTCCGCATTTACACTTACAGTACTGGAAATTTGGAATATGTAAATTAATTGTGAGTGCTGATCTGCAGTTACAAATATTACAAATATTCAAACAAATTATTTTAAATAACTTTTCTGATTTCTTTTTACCAAATGCATTCATATTTTTTCATGTTAGATTTTGTGCATATATAGAGAGCTCACATCTGATTAGTAAGAGATTAATCAAGAACTACAGATTTGAATTATAAATACTGTATTTTTTCTCCATTAGTTTTTTACCAAATGCACTGGTATTTTGTATATGCCACAAATGCAGTTTTTACAGATGAAACTCTCATCAACATGGCTGTGGCAAGATCTAGCTCAAGTTCCAACGGCAGCCGTGTCTTTGAATGGTGTCTTTTTATTTTATTACAACACAATGTATGTTCAGCGATTTAGAACCTTCCCATCACTCGCAGGTACAGTGGAGCCTTGGTTTTCGACATTAATTCATTTCGGAAAGGCTGACGAAAATTGAAGTAATGTTTCCCATAAGAAATAATGTATGTAAATCCAATTAATGCATTCCAGACACCCAAAAGTATTAACAAAAAATACATTTTATAGAAAAAAACTGTAGTGTTACATAAGGAAGACAATGAGAAATAAATATAAAGGACTAATGAAATGGATAAATTAACATTTAATATCACTTTTACCTTTATTGAAAACTCTTCTTGACGTATGGAAGACGTGAGGAAGGGAAAGGGAGGAGGAGAGGTTATTAGTTGGAAGGGAAATCCCCCTCCATAAGGACTTCAGGTATCAAGTCCCTATCCGGGGTTACTTCCCTTCTTTGTATTTTACTGGCACTGGACCCCTGTCGCACAAAAAATCTGTCCAGAGAAGTTTGTTTCTGGTGCCTCTTTAAGATTTGCCTAAAGTGAGACAAGGCATTGTCATTGAACATGTTGCAGACATGGCTTCCAACAGCTTTGTTAGGGTGATATTTCTCCACAAAACTTTGCAACTCAGTCCTCTTTGCACACATGTTCTTAATCACTGAAGAAGGCACTGATCGTTGATGAGGACTTCTCATGCATCCTGGTGAGATCGACCACATGTATGCCACTTTCGTATACATACTTTGTTATGAGTTTTCTTGAATTCTATTGAGTTTCTCGCCTTCTTTATCAAAGGACTGGCACCCAAATTTTCTTTGGCCCCATGGTGGCTTATTTAGCAGTCGCACTCAATAAACAAGCACAAAAAACAATGGATTATAATGAAATGTTTCGGATGAACGTGCAGGGTAATGCTCACTCAATGCGAAACAAAGCCAGACTGACTCAGAACGCATGGGATGCTTTGTGTAGGCACGGGAAGGCGGACACATTCGGTACAGCAGACCGATGAAAACCAAGGTGATGAATGAAAGCTGAGACAAAATTTTGACAAAAAAATTCGTCGAAAACCAAATTTGATGAAAACCAGGGCAAACGAAAACCGTGGTTCCACTGTAGTTACCTTTTCAGATTATTATCCAATTTTTCCATGTTTACTGGCAACATTAATGTCAAATGATGATCAACAAGCTGTTTTCTATAAAAGCACATATTATACTAGACTTCCATGCTTACCCCATGGATGGGCATCCTGCTCCATCCAGTCCTCATAACCTTAGCACATATCCTCACAATGTAATACACATGTTTTTTAAAGCATGGTGTCTTTATTTACAGCCTCTCTTTTCAAGCACTGTCATCCGTACTCTGTTGTCTGCCTTGCTACTAATACCATCATTAGTGAAAATGCTGCATCAGCATTTTTACCAGACAACAACCACCCAGGGAGGTACTACTATCATACTGCCAAGTAAGTGTAAAACAAAAGACTGTATTTATTTGACATGATGGTAGGATTGCTGGTGTCTTTTTTCTGTCTCATAAACATGCTAGATTTCAGGTACGTCTTGCTACTACTACTTACACTTAGGTCACACTACACATGCATGTACACATTTATGTATACACATCATCTGAGTTTTCTTTTATTTTATCTAATAGTTCTTGTTCTTATTACTTTTCCTTTCACATCCCTGAGGAAGTGGAATAAAAATCTTTCCTCCGAAAGCCATGCGTGTTGTAAAAGTCAACTAAAATGCCGGGAGCAATGGGTTAGTAATCCTTTTCCCGTATAGCCTATTAAAAAGAAAAAGAAGAAAACTGTCAAAGTGGGATGTCTGAATGTGCGAGGATGTTGTGTGAATGATAAGAAAGAGATGATTGGGGATATTATGAATGAGAAGAAGCTGGATGTCCTGGCTTTAAGTGAAACAAAGCTGGAGGTGGGAGAGTTTCAGTGGAGAGAAATAAATGGGATTAGGTCAGGGGTTTCAAACAGAGTTAGAGCTAAGGAAGGAGTAGCAATAATGTTGAAGGATAAGCTATGGCAGGAAAAGAGGGAGTATAAATGTATTAATTCAAGGAATTATGTGGAATAAAATAAAGGTTGGATGTGAAAAGTGGGTTATAGTAAGCGTATATGCACTGCGAGAAGAGAGAAGTGTAGAGGAGAGAGAGAGAGATTTTGGGAAATGTTGAGTGAATGCATGGGGAGTTTTGAACCAAGTGTGAGAGTACTTGTGGTTGGGGATTTCAATGCTAAAGTGGATAAAGATGTTGTGGAGAGGTGCCAGGGGTAAATGAAAATGGGGAGCCTTAATTGAACGTTGTGTAGAAGAGGTTTGGTATAAGTAATACATATTTTATGAAAAAGAGGATAAATAAATATACAAGGTATGATATAGCATGTAATGAAAGTAGTTTGTTAGATTATGTATTGGTGGATAAAAGGTTGATGGGTAGGCGCCAGGATGTACATGTTTATAGAGGGGCAACTGATATATTGGATCATTATTTAGTTGTAGCTACAATCAGAGTAAAAGGTAGATGAACAAGAGGAAAATGGCAACAACAAGTAAGAGAGAGGTGAAAGTGTTCATAAACTAAGGGAGGAGGAAGTTCGGGTGAGATATAAGCAACTACTGGTAGAAAAATGGACAAATGCAAG